CAGTCAATGACAGCCTGAAGTGTGGAACGCATAGACATCAGCAGACGCTGGGTGTCATCCCTGGTGATGCTCTGCCAGGCCTCTACTGCAACTGTCTTCAGTTCCTGCTTGTTCTTGGGGCATTTTCCCTTCAGTTTTGTCTTCAGCAAGTGAAATGCTCAATCGGATTCAGGTCAGGTGATGGACTTGGCCATTGCAGAACATTCCACTTCTTTGGTGGCTTTTGCAGTCTGCTTTGGGTCATTGTCCATCTGCACTGTGAAGCGTCCAATGAGTTGTGAAGCATTTGGCTGAATATGAGCCGATAATATTCCCGAAACACTTCACAATTCATCCGGCTGCTTCTGTCAGCAGTCACATCATCAATAAATACAAGAGAAGCAGTTCCATTGGCAGCCATACATGCCCACGCCATGACACTACCACCACCATGATCACTGATGAGGTGGTATGCTGAGGACCATGAGCAGTTCCTTCTCCATACTCTTCTCTTCCCATCACTCTGGTACAAGTTGATGTCGGTCTCCTCTGTCCATAGGATGTTGTTCCAGAACTGTGAAGGCTTTTTTACATGTCGTTTGGCAAACTCTAATCTGGCCTTCCTGTGTTTGAGGCTCACCAATGGTTTCCATCTTGTGGTGAACCCTCTGTATTCACTCTGGTGAAGTCTTCTCCTGATTGGTGACTTTGACACACATACACCTACCTCCTGGAGAGTGTTCTTGATCTGGCCAACTGTTGTGAAGGGTGTTTTCTTCACCAGGGAAAGAATTCTTCGCTCATCCACCACAGTTGTTTTCCGTGGTCTTCCGGGTCTTTTGGTGTTGCTGAGCTCACCGGTGCGTTCCTTCTTTTTAAGAATGTTCCAAACAGTTGTTTTGGCCACGCCTAATGTTTTTGCTATCTCTCTGATGGGTTTGTTTTGTTTTTTCAGCCTAATGATGGCTTCACTGATAGTGACAGCTCTTTGGATCTCATCTTGAGAGTTGACAGCAACAGATTCCAAATGCAAATAGCACACTTGAAATGAACTCTGGACCTTTTATCTGCTCATTGTAATTGGGATAATGAGGGAATAACACACACCTGGCCATGGAACAGCTGAGAAGCCAATTGTCCCATTACTTTTGGCCCCTTAATAAGTGGGAGGCACATATGCAAACTGTTGTAATTCCTACACCGTTCACCTGATTTGGATGTAAATACCCTCAAATTAAAGCTGACAGTCTGCAGTTAAAGCACATCTTGTTCGTTTCATTTCAAATCCATTGTGGTGGTGTATAGAGCCAAAAATGTTAGAATTGTGTCCATGTCCCAATATTTATGGACCTGACTGTATGTGCTAGTGGCCAGCTGTGTGCGAGAGCCATGTTTTGAAAGAGTCTGCAGGAGACAGACGTAAGCCTGAAGAGGAAGGCCAGGGGAAGATTGTGTATATCTGAGAGAATTTTGTTTATGTGGATGATAGATACCCCTGTGTGGGAAACTTCTGATGTTTTAAACTTCCATTTAAATAAAAGTGGGCTAAAAAGGCCTTAAAAAAGCAAGCGAGTTGCTGTGTGCGTTTAACCAAGCTCTACCATTTGAAGCGAGTTCCCACAATATATATATATTTATTTTTTAGCAAAGATGCTAGAGAGTGAAATGGTGATCATTGCAAGTTTTCCTCACATGATATTTCCGTAGTGGTTTTTCGAACACGATTAAAAATCCAAAAAAAACTTTAGTGAATTGAAAATAAATAAATAAAATTATATATACACCCTATTTGTTTTGTGAAATATATATATATAGGAGGGGGTCACAGTGCCCGGTAGACAGGAAGGGGGTCACAGTGCCTGGGTAGACAGGACAGGGGGGTAGAAGTGCCCTGTAGGCAGGAAGGGGGTAGAAGTGCCCGGTAGACAGGAAGGGGGTAGAAGTGCCCTGTAGGCAGGAAGGGGGTAGAAGTGCCCGGTAGACAGGAAGGGGGTAGAAGTGCATGGTAGACAGGAAGGGGGTAGAAGTGCCCGGTAGACAGGAAGGGGGTAGAAGTGCCCTGTAGGCAGGAAGGGGGTAGAAGTGCCCTGTAGGCAGGAAGGGGGTAGAAATGTCCGGTAGGCAGGAAGGGGGTAGAAGTGCCCGGTAGACAGGAAGGGGGTAGAAGTGTCCTGGGGGAAGGGGGTCACAGTGCCCGGTAGACAGGAAGGGGGTAGAAGTGCCCTGTAGGCAGGAAGGGGGTAGAAGTGCCCGGTAGACAGGAAGGGGGTAGAAGTGCCCTGTAGGCAGGAAGGGGGTAGAAGTGCCTGGTAGGCAGGAAGGGGGTAGAAGTGCATGGTAGACAGGAAGGGGGTAGAAGTGCCCGGTAGACAGGAAGGGGGTAGAAGTGCCCAGGAAGGGGTAGGCAGGAAGGGGGTAGAAGTGCCCTGTAGGCAGGAAGGGGGTAGAAATGTCCGGTAGGCAGGAAGGGGGTAGAAGTGCCCGGTAGACAGGAAGGGGGTAGAAGTGCCCTGTAGGCAGGAAGGGGGTAGAAGTCCCTGTAGGCAGGAAGGGGTAGAAGTGTCCTGTAGGCAGGAAGGGGGTAGAAGTGCCCGGTAGACAGGAAGGGGGTAGAAGTGCCCTGTAGGCAGGAAGGGGGTAGAAGTGCCCTGTAGGCAGGAAGGGGGTAGAAGTGCCTGGTAGGCAGGAAGGGGGTAGAAGTGCCCGGTAGGCAGGAAGGGGGTAGAAGTGCCCGGTAGGCAGGAAGGGGGTAGAAGTGCCCTGTAGGCAGGAAGGGGGTAGAAGTTCCCTGTAGGCAGGCAGGGGTAGAAGTGTCCTGTAGGCAGGAAGGGGGTAGAAGTGCCGGTAGACAGGAAGGGGGTAGAAGTGCCCGGTAGACAGGAAGGGGGTAGAAGTGCCTGTAGGCAGGAAGGGGGTAGAAGTGCCCTGTAGGCAGGAAGGGGGTAGAAGTGCCCGGTAGGCAGGAAGGGGGTAGAAGTGCCTGGTAGGCAGGAAGGGGGTAGAAGTGCCCGGTAGGCAGGAAGGGGGTAGAAGTGCCCGGTAGGCAGGAAGGGGGTAGAAGTGCCCGGTAGGCAGGAAGGGGTAGAAGTGCCCGGTAGGCAGGAAGGGGGTAGGTGTCCAGGAAGGGGGGTAGAAGTGGAAGGGGGTAGAAGTGCCCTGTAGCAGGAAGGGGGTAGAAGTGCCCGGTAGGCAGGAAGGGGGTAGAAGTGCCCTGTAGGCAGGAAGGGGGTAGAAGTGTGTCCCCCTTCTCCCCGAGGAAGGGGGTAGAAGGCAGGGAAGTGCCCTCTGGTAGAAGTGCCCTGTAGGCAGGAAGGGGTAGAAGAAGGCCCTCTCAGGTCGGTAGAAGTGTCACCCTCCCAAGTAGGAACAATACCAGAATATAGGTTGATTTAGAAGTGCCTTTTCGAAATAGATTTCAGGAAGGGTACCCCCCCTATGTTCTGTCCCGTAGGCAGGAAGGGGGTAGAAGTGCCCTGTAGGCAGGAATGGGGGTAGAAGTGCTATTATTTTTCAAAAGGCAGGAAGGGGGTAGAATTCTAGCTAGGCTTTCCTCTTAGGAAGGGGGTAGAAGTTATTCCCGGGAGGCAGGAAGGGGGTAGAAGTGCCCTAGGCATTATTTTCCCTTCTATGCCCAGGGGGCAGGAAGGGGTAGAAGTGCCCGGTCTTTTACGCGTGGTACTTTCTATTCAGGAAGGGGGTAGAAGTGCTATGTAGGCATGGGAAGGGGGGTTTTGGAAGGACAGGAAGGGGGTAGATAGTAGGCAGGAAGGGGTCTAGTGCCCGGGGCATTGTATTGCTGGGTGATCAAGTTGTGGTCAGCAGGTCCAAGGGGGTAGAAGTGTCCGGCAGGGCAGGAATGGTAGAAGTGCCCGTCAGGCTGAAGGGGGGAGAAGTAAGCCTTTAGGTTACTTGGAATACAGGAATCGACGAGAAGCCCAGCACTGGGTTAGACCTTGGTAAAAATAGAGTGGGGGCCAGGATCTGTGGGCATCCCCCGGGGGGGGGGGGGCGTCCCTTCCTTGCCGCTACAGAACATTCCCCGGCTGCACTCTGTACATAAGCAGTTGCTAGGATCGCTGTCAGGAGAAACAGCTGGCTGTCCGCTGAAATAACAACCCCAGATTATAGTTGATTTATCTTTCTTTTGTATTCTTTCTATTACATATTCTTTTATTTACTGTTCTATTCTTTTCGAAATTGAAATTTCAGAAGACGGCTATGTTCTGTCCATTTTTTTTTTTTAATTCTATTCCTAATCTATTCTATTCTTTTATATTCTATTCTTGTACCCTATACTATTCTTTTATGGGGTTTTTTATATGCTATTATTTTCAAAATTCGAAATTTTGGAGGACTGCTATATTCTTTTTATCCTATTCTAAACTATTCTTTTCTCTCTTTTCTATTCTTTTATATTCTATTCTGCTTTATTTCTATTTTATTCTTTTTTGAAATTCAAATTTTAGAAGACCGCTATATCCCTTTCTAATTTATTATTTTCCCTTCTATGCTATTCTATTATTTTCTATTCTATTTTTTAATTCTACTCTTTTACTTTCTATTCTTTTACTTTTTATTCTATTCTTTTCAAAATTAAGAATTTTGGAAGACAGCGATATTGTTTCTATTTCTTCTATTGTATGCTATTATGATCAAGTTGTGGTCAGAAGTCCAAGCCAAGGTCCAATATCACGAGTAAGAGACACACCAGAACCAGGGGTGGTCCAGGAGAGATGTCAGGCCTAGCGGGGTCAGGAACAAGGTAAGCAGACTTTCAGGAACTTGGAATACAGGAATCAGAGATGAAGACACTCCAGCACTGAGGTTAGGTAGACCTTGGTTTTTAAATAGGCCATTGGTGCCAGGATCTGTGGGTGTGCCTGTGAGAGCACTAGCATGTGACTCTGTACATAACACACCCCTGAACCCTGCACTCTGTACATAACACACCCCTAAACCCTGCACTCTGTACATAACACACCCCCTAAACCCTGCACTCTGTACATACACACCCCAGAACCCTGCACTCTGTACATAACACACCACCCCTGAACCCTGCACTCTGTACATACACACACCCCTACAAACCCCTGAACCCTGCACTCTGTACATAGCACACCCCTGAACCCTGCACTCTGTACATAGCACACCCCTGAACCCTGCACTCTCTGTACATAACACACCCCTGAACCCTGCACTCTGTACATAGCACACCCCTGAACCCTGCACTCTGTACATAGCACACCCCTGAACCCTGCACTCTGTACATAAGCACACCCCTGAACCCTGCACTCTGTACATAGCACACCCCAGAACCCTGCACTCTGTACATAACACACCCCAGAACCTGCACTCTGTACATAACACACCCCAGAACCCTGCACTCTGTACATAGCACACACCCCTGAACCCTGCACTCTGTACATAACACACCCCTGAACCCTGCACTCTGTACGTAGCACACACCCCTGAACCCTGCACTCTGTACATAACACACCCCTAAACCCTGCACTCTGTACATAACACACCCCAGAACCCTGCACTCTGTACATAACACACCCCAGAACCCTGCACTCTGTACGTAGCACACCCCAGAACCCTGCACTCTGTACATAGCACACCCCAGAACCCTGCACTCTGTACATAGCACACCCCTGAACCCTGCACTCTGTACATAGCACACACCCTGAACCCTGCACTCTGTACATAACACACACCCCTGAACCCTGCACTCTGTACATAACACACCCCCCCAGAACTCTGCACTCTGTACATGGCACACCCCCTGAAACCCCTGCACTCTGTACGTAGCACACACCCCTGAACCCTGCACTCTGTACATACACACCCCTGAACCCTGCACTCTGTACGTAGCACACCCCTGAACCCTGTACTCTGTACATAACACACCCTGAACCCTGCACTCTGTACATAGCACACCCCTGAACCCTGTACTCTGTACATCAACACACCCCTGAACCCTGCACTCTGTACATAACACACCCCTGAACCCTGCACTCTGTACATAACACACCCCTGAACCCTGCACTCTGTACATAACACACCCTGAACCCTGCACTCTGTACATAGCACAACCCCAGAACCCTGCACTCTGTATGTAGCACACCCTGAACTTTGCACTCATTACACAGCGCACCCCTGAACCCTGCACTCTGTACATGGCACACCCCCTGAACCCTGCACTCTGTACATGGCACACCCCTGAACCCTGCACTCTATACATAACACACCCCTGAACCCTGCACTCTGTACATAACACACCCCAGAACCCTGCACTCTGTACACAGCACACCCCTGAACCCTGCACTCTGTACATGGCACACCCCTGAACCCTGCACTCTGTACATAGCACACCCCAGAACCCTGCACTCTGTACATAACACACACAGCCCCTGAACCCTGCACTCTGTACATAACACACCCCTGAACCTGCACTCTGTACATAGCACACCCCTGAACCCTGCACTCTGTACATAGCACACCCCTGAACCCCTGCACTCTGTACATAGCACACCCCTGAACCCTGTACTCTGTACACAGCACACCCCTGAACCCTGCACTCTGTACATAGCACACCCCTGAACCCTGCACTCTGTACATAGCACACAACCCTGAACCCTGCACTCTGTACATAACACACACTCCTGTACACAGCGCAACCCTGCACTCTGTACATAACACACCCCAGAACCCTGCACTCTGTACATAGCACACCCCTGAACCCTGCACTCTGTACATAGCACACCCCTGAACCCTGCACTCTGTACATAGCACACCCCTGAACCCTGCACTCTGTACATAAGCACAACCCTGAACCCTGCACTCTGTACATGGCACACCCCTGAACCCTGCACTCTGTACGTACACAACACACCCCTGAAACCCTGCACTCTGTACATAACACACCCTGAACCCTGCACTCTGTACGTATGGCACACCCCTGAACCCTGCACTCTGTACATAACACACACCCCCTGAACCCTGCACTCTGTACATGGAGCACAACCCTGAACCTGCACTCTGTACATGGCACACCACCCTGAACTCTGCACTCTGTACATAAGCACACCCTGAACCCTGCACTCTGTACATAGCACACCCCTGAACCCTGCACTCTGTACATAGCACACCCCTGAACCCTGCACTCTGTACATAGCACACCCCTGAACCCTGCACTCTGTACATAGCACACCCCTGAACCCTGCACTGTGTATATAGAGTACCTGTGAACACTGAACTTGGTATGTAGCACACACCCCTGAATTTGGCCACACCCACTTTTCAATGTGATTCACGGGGGGTTGTTGAGTTCCTGCACCTATTCTATTCTCTGAGAAAAAAAAAGCTGATATGGCTCGCAAATAAATTACATTTGACACCCCTTCTCTAGAAAATACATCTCAGCCTGTGGGGAAAAAAAAATAAAAAAGCAGCAAAGGTAGCATTCAGGACGGCGAAGGAAAGCGAATCTGTAATTTTAACTTCACCAAAATTCATATTCATCAAAGTGGCATTTAAAGTAGAAGGAAGATAGAAGGCGAGAGATGGAGCTGGGACCTGAAATTGATGGCAGCTGTCTCCAGTCAAGATATCAGCATTATTAACTGTCATTTTCCTTCACATTAGAGCAAAGTCCCATCTGCCAGTTACATCCCAGGACCGGGAGCAGCGCTACACGTGGAGTGAGACTGCTACCTAGAGACACTTTTATATCCCAATATGAATAGGCTCAGCAGAGGATTAATAATACAGATAAATGCAATAGACGACGTGTGCCTCTGTCATGTGTTGATGAATTGCCGTGACTCCAGATACATTGTTACCTCTTGTTAGCAGAGGCCCCCCTTCCCTACCGCCACCATATTATTCCATTTATCAACCCCAACACCCCCGATAATTCCGGTTATCAGCCAATGTAAGCAGCTTCTTTCCATGTAGAGGTCTTTACCCATCCTTCATATGTCTACCTGAGTCAGTGGGCTTAGCCGGAGGTACATTCCTCTTGCCGGTGGAATATTGACGGTTGTCTACGCGGTATTTGCCCAACAATGAGATTGAAAACCTCCTGCGCTCCTTCCTAAATCCCTACACTCAGGAACTAGGGAAGCTGCCAACATCCCTACACTCAGGAACTAGGGAAGCTGCCAACATCCCTACACTCAGGAACTAGTGAAGCTGCCAACATCCCTACACTCAGGAACTAGTGAAGCTGCCAACATCCCTACACTCAGGAACTAGGGAAGCTGCCAACATCCCTACACTCAGGAACTAGTGAAGCTGCCAACATCCCTACACTCAGGAACTAGTGAAGCTGCCACCATCCCTACACTCAGGAACTAGTGAAGCTGCCAACATCCCTACACTCAGGAACTAGGAAGCTGCCAACATCCCTACACTCAGGAACTAGTGAAGCTGCCAACATCCCTACACTCAGGAACTAGTGATGGTGCCAACATCCAATCATATACAGTGGGGCATAAAAGTATTTAGTCGCCACCAATTGTGCAAGTTCTCCCACTTACAAAGATGAGAGAGGCCTGTAATTGACATCATAGGGAGACCTCAACTATGAGAGACAAAATGAGAAAACAAATCCAGACAATCTCATTGGCTGATCTGGAAAGAATTGATTTGCAAATTATGGTGGAAAATAAGTATTTGGTGAATATGAAAAGTTCATGTCAATACTTTGTTATATATCCTTTGTTGGCAATGACAGAGGTCAGACGTTTCCTGGAAGTCTTCACAAGGTTGGCACACACTGTTGCTGGTATGTTGGCCCATCCTCCATGCAGATCTCCTCCTCCATGCAGATCTCCTCTAGAGCAGTGATGTTTTGGGGCTGTCGCTGGGCAACACGGACTTTCATCTCCCTCCACAGGTTTTTCTATGGGGTTGAGATCTGGAGACTGGCTAGGCCACTCCAGGACCTTGAAATGCTTCTTACGAAGCCACTCCTTCATTGCCCGGGCGGTATGTTTGGGATCATTGTCATGTTGGAAGACCCAGCCACGTTTCATCTTCAATGCCCTTGCTGATGGAAGGAGGTTTGCACTCAAAATCTCACGATACATGGCCCCATTCATTCTGTCCTGTACATGGATCAGTCGTCCTGGTCCCTTTGCGGAGAAACAGCCCCAAAGCATGATGTTGTCACCCCCATGCTTCACAGTAGGTATGGTGTTCTTTGGATGCAACTCAGCATTCTCTCTCCTCCAAACACGACGAGTTGTGTTTCTACCAAACAGTTCTATTTTGGTTTCATCTGACCATATGACATTCTCCCAATCCTCTTCTGGATCATCCAAATGCTCTCTAGCAAACTTCAGACGGGCCCCGGACATGTACTGGCTTAAGCAGGGGGACACGTCTGGCACTGCAGGATCTGAGTCCCTGGCAGCGTAGTGTGTTACTGATGGTAGTCTTTGTTACGTTGGTCCCAGCTCTCTGCAGGTCATTCACTAGGTCCCCCCCGTGTGGTCCTGGGATTTTTGCTCACGTTCTTGTGATCATTTTGACCCCACGGGGTGAGATCTTGCGTGGAGCCCCAGATGGAGGGAGATTATCAGTGGTCTTGTATGTCTTCCATTTTCTAATTATTGCTCCCACAGTTGATTTGTTCACACCAAGCTGCTTGCCTATCACAGATTCAGTCTTCCCAGCCTGGTGCAGGTCTACAATTTTGTTTGTGGTGTCCTTCGACAGCTCTTTGGTCTTCACCATAGTGGAGTTTGGAGTGTGACTGTTTGAGGTTGTGGACAGGTGTCTTTTATACTGATAACAAGTTCAAACAGGTGCCATTGATACAGGTAATGAGTGCAGGACAGAGGAGCCTCTTAAAGAAGAAGGTCCAGGTCTGTGAGAGCCAGAAATCTTGCTTGTTTGTAGGAGACCAAATACTTATTTTCCACCAGAATTTGCAAATCAATTCTTTCCAGATCAGCCAATGAGATTGTCTGGATTTGTTTTCTCATTTTGTCTCTCATAGTTGAGGTCTCCCTATGATGCCAATTACAGGCCTCTCTCATCTCTGTAAGTGGGAGAACTTGTACCATTGGTGGTGACTAAATACTTTTTTTGCCCCACTGTACCTGATGCTCTCAAATGGAAAACAAATTGCGGTGACGCACTTCCAGTTTGGACGCCATCTTTGTACACCAGATGTAGGAAAATGTGAGTGAATATTTTGGAAGATTTGTTGCGATACGTCTTTACAATAAATGGTATTATGCTGTGGGAGCTTCTACTTGTGTCTTATAATGAGATAACTGACCACATCTCACGCATCTGCCAGGAGAGGAGGTCTGCCGCCATTTATTATTATTATTATACAGGATTTATATTATTATTATTATTATACAGGATTTATGGCGCCAACGGATTGCTCAGCGCTTTACAATATAACGGGAGACAATACAGCAACAATACAGTTCAATACAAGAGGTTAGGAGGGCCTGATCCTGGGAGCTTACAATCTAGGAGGGAGGGGTGAATGGTACAGTAGGTAGTCACTGTGGGGGATGGAGTGGTTGGAAGAGTAGAGGATTAGAGAATTAGTAGAGGGAGGGATAGGCTTCCCTGAAGAGAAGGTTTTCAGTGATCGCCGAAAGGCAAGTAGAGTAGGTGATAGTCTGATAGATTGGGGTAGGAAGTTCCAGAGGATGGGTGACGTCCTGGAGAAGTCTTGGAGATGAGCGTGGGAGGAGGAGATAAGGGAGCTAGAGAGCAGGAGGTCTTGCGAGGAGCGGAGAGGACGGTTTGGGTGATATTTAGATATAAGTTCGGATATGTAAATTGGGGCAGTGTTGTGGATGGCTTTATATGTCAGTGTTAAAGTTTTGAATTTTATCCATGGGGGCAACTGAGAGCCAGTGGAGGGATTGGCAGAGAGGAGTGGAGGACACTGAGTGGAGGCCAGTGGAGGGATTGGCAGAGAGGGGTGGAGGACACTGAGTGGAGGCCAGTGGAGGGATTGGCAGAGAGGGGTGGAGGACACTGAGTGGAGGTAAGTGGAGGTATTGTCAGAGAGGGGTGGAGGACACTGAGTGAAGGCCAGTGGAGGGATGGGTAGAGAGGGATGGAGGCCAGTGGAGGGATTGGCAGAGAGGGGTGGAGGACACTGAGTGAAGGCCAGTGGGAGGATGGTAGAGAGGGATGGAGGCCAGTGGAGGGATTGGCAGAGAGGGGTGGAGGACACTGAGTGGAGGTCAGTGGGGGGATTGGCAGAGAGGGGTGGAGGACACTGTGTGGAGGCCAGTGGAGGGATTGGCAGAGAGGGGTGGAGGACACTGAGTGAAGGCCAGTGGAGGGATGGGTAGAGAGGGATGGAGGCCAGTGGAGGGATTGGCAGAGAGGGGTGGAGGACATTGAGTGGAGGCCAGTGGAGGGATTAGCAGAGAGGGGTGGCGGATACAGAATGGTTAGTAAGGTGGAGGAGTCTGGCAGCAGCATTCATGATGGGCTGAAGAGGGGATAGCCTGCGATGAGGTCGGCCAATGAGGAGGGAGTTACAATAGTCGAGGCGTGATATAATGAGGGAGTGAATACGTTACTTAGTGGTTTCCGGGGTTAGGAACGGGCGTATCTTGGAGATGTTGTGGAGGTTGGAGATGTTGTGGAGGTTGGAGATGTTGCAGAGGTTGGAGATGTTGCGGAGGTTGGAGATGTTGCGAAGGTTGGAGATGTTGTTGTGGAGGTTGGAGGTGTTGCGGAGGTTGGAGATGTTGCGGAGGTTGGAGATGTTGCGAAGGTTGGAGGTGTTGGAGAGGTTGGAGATGTTGCGAAGGTTGGAGGGTTGGAGAAGTTGAAGATGTTGCGGAGGTTGGAGATGTTGCGGAGGTTGGAGATGTTGCGGAGGTTGGAGATGTTGCGGAGGTTGGAGGTGTTGCGGAGGTTGGAGGTGTTGCGGAGGTTGGAGATGTTGGGGAGGTTGGAGACGTTGCAGAGGTGAAGTCTACACGATTTGGACAGTGATTGGATCTGGGGCTGGAAGGATGAGACATGAGGGGAGGGACTGAGGATGGTGTTAGCGATGTTTTATATTCGGCGAATTCGTGGACAATATTCGATTTCGAGTCGAATAAATTCGCTGTGAATTTAACTTAAAAAAGGGTGTGTTTCTAGGCTTCAGAGAGACTTAATATTAGTGCAGAAACACTGTACCTTTAATTTAAATGCCCTTGGAGTCTGCTGGGGAAGAGAAATAATACTGTCTGTCAGTATGACATGCAGATGAGTGCCGTCTCAGATCTTAGAATCACTGCACACTTCACTCCTTTGGCCAGTTCACGGGGCCAAAACCAGTGTTTAGGATCGCACAGTAGTGGCTGGTGGAGGCAGCTGCAAATGGGTGATGGCCATACATCATACCTAATGTACAAAATTGAAACACCAGCAGGAGCAT